TGTGAATGACATATTGTTAATCGGAGATAATGTAGAATTATTCTGCAAAGCATAAAGGAATGTTTGAAAGGGTTTTTTTTTTCAAATAAAGACCTCGGTGAAGCTGCTTACATATTGAGCATCAAGATCTATAGGGATATACAAGACGCTTGATAAGTTTTTCAATGAGTACATACCTTGACAAGATTTTGAAGTAGTTCAAAATGGAACAGTCAAAGAAGGAGTTCTTGCCTGTGTTACAAGGTGTGAAGTTGAGTAAGACTCAAAACCCGACCACGGCAGAATATATAGAGAGAATGAAAGTCATTCCCTATGCCTCAGCCATAGGTTCTATAAAGTATGCCATGTAGTGTACCAGACCTATTGTATACCCTGCCCTGTGTTTGGCAAGGGAGTACAATAGTGATCTAGGAGTAGATTACTGGACATTGGTCAAAATTATCCTTAGTGGAATAAGGATATGTTTCTCGATTATGGAGGTGACAAAAGGTTCGTCGTAAAGGGTTACGTCGATGCAAGTTTTGACACTGATCCAGATGACTCAAAGTCTCAATCTAGATACATATTGAAAGTGGGAGCAATTAGCTAGAGTAGCTCCGTGCAGAGCATTGTTGACATAGAAATTTGCAAAATACATACGGATCTGAATGTGGCAAACCCGTTGACTAAACTTCCCTCACAAGCAAAACATGATCACACCTTAGTACTCTTTGGGTATTAATCACATAGCGATGTGAACTAGATTATTGACTCTAGTAAACCCTTTGGGTGTTGGTCACATGACGATGTGAACTATGGGTGTTAATCACATGGTGATGTGAACTATTGATGTTAAATCACATGGCGATGTGAACTATTGATGTTAAATCACATGGCGATGTGAACTAGATTATTGACTCTAGTGCAAATGGGAGACTGAAGGAAATATTCCCTAGAGGCAATAATAAAGTTATTATTTATTTCCTTATATCATGATAGATGTTTATTATTCATGCTAGAATTGTATTAACCGGAAACATAATACATGTGTGAATACATAGACAAACAGAGTGTCACTAGTATGCCTCTACTTGACTAGCTCATTGATCAAAGATGATTATGTTTCCTAACCATAGACATGAGTTGCCATTTGATTAATGGGATCACATCATTAGGAGAATGATGTGATTGACTTGACCCATTCCGTTAGCATAGCACTTGATCATTTAGTTTGTTGCTATTGCTTTCTTCATGACTTATACATGTTCCTATGACTATGAGATTATGCAACTCCCGTTTACCGGAGGAACACTTTGTGTGCTACCAGACGTCACAACGTAACTGGGTGATTATAAAGGTGCTCTACAGGTGTCTCTGAAGGTACTTGTTGGGTTGGCGTATTTCGAGATTAGAATTTGTCACTCCGATTGTCGGAGAGGTATCTCTGGGCCCACTTGGTAATGCACATCACTATAAGCCTTGCAAGCATTGCAACTAATGAGTTAGTTACGGGATGATGTGTTATGAAACGAGTAAAGAGACTTGCCGGTAACGAGATTGAACTAGATATTGAGATACCGGCGATCGAATCTCGAGCAAGTAACATACCGATGACAAAGGGAACAACGTATGTTGTTATGCGGTCTGACCGATAAAGATCTTCATAGAATATGTAGGAGCCAATATGGGCATCCAGGTCCCGCTATTGGTTATTGACCAGAGAGGTGTCTCGGTCATGTCTACGTAGTTTTCGAACCCGTAGGGTCCGCACGCTTAACGTTCGTTGACGATATAGTACTATATGAGTTATGTATGTTGATGACCGAATGTTGTTCGGAGTCCGGGATGAGATCACGGACATGACGAGGAACTCCGAAATGTTCCGGAGATAAAGTTTGATATATGGGATAGTAGTGTTTGATCTCCGGAAGGGTTCCGGAATTCACCGGAAGGGGTTCCGGATGTTTCCCGAAATGTTTGGGCACGAGAGCACTTTATTTGGGCCAAAGGGGAAAGCCCACGAGGCTTTTGGAAAGTGCAAAAGGAAGTTTTGCAGAGACCAGAGGCTAGATGCCAGGAACCCTGGCGTCTGGGGGGTAGACGCCAGGAACCCTGGCGTCTAGCCCTGGAGTCCGAGAAGGACTCTTGTCTTTCGGGTGAAACCGACTTTGAGGAGGCTTTTACTCCAAGTTTCGACCCCAGGGCTCAACATATAAATAGAGAGGTAGGGCTAGCATCAAAGACACATTAAGAAACACCAAGCCGTGTGCCGGCAACCCCGTCCCCTCTAGTTTATCCTCCGTCATAGTTTTCGTAGTGCTTAGGCGAAGCCCTGCGGAGATTGTTCTTCACCAACACCGTCACCACGCCGTCGTGCTGCCGGAACTCATCTACTACTTCGCCCCTCTTGCTAGATCGAGAAGGCGAGGACGTCCCCGAGCCGAACGTGTGCAGAACTTGGAGGTGTCGTGCTTTCGGTACTTGGATCGGTCGGACGTGAAGACGTACGACTACATCAACCGCGTTGATATAACGCTTCCGCGAACGGTCTACGAGGGTACGTAGACAACACTCTCCCTCTCGTTGCTATGCATCACCATGATCTTGCGTGTGCGTAGGATTTTTTTTGAAATTAGTACGTTCCCCAACAGTTTAGTTGGCAGGAAGACTAGTTGCACACACATATGCTGAGTTGGCTTGTAATGTAGTCTAGTTGAACACACATTGATATTTAGTTGGCTTGTAATGTAGTCTACTTTCACACACATTGATATTTAATTGGCAGAAGGACTAGTTGCACAGACATATGCTCAGTTAGCTTGTAATTTAGTCAGTTACACACATACTGATGTTTAGTTGGCAGATGTTTAGTTGGCAGGACGCTAGTTGCACACACATATGCGCAATTAACGCGGCAATGTAGTCTAGTTGCACACACATTGATGTTTAGTTGGCAGGACTATTAACACACACATAAGCTTAGTTGGCGCGGTAATATAGTATAGTTGCACACATATTGATGTTTAGTTGACAGAAGAACTATTGGCAACTAGTAAACGTAACAATCCACACACAGATCCATCCACCTGACATGAGCCAACTAGTAAACGTAACAATCCACACACACGAGAGAAAGAAACACACACAAGAGAGGAAAAAGTGTCTGCCATGAACGGGATGGTAGCGACGACCACTACTCAAGGTCGATGCATCCATGCGCTGGGAGGTTGCCACAGCTTGCAGGCTCCGATGACGGCTTAAGCACGCCGGAGGCCGCGGGGTGCTCGCGAACGGTGAGTTAGGGAGGCAATAGGGAATACGACGGCCCCGGCGAGATGACGGAGCAGTGCGTCAACGCCGGTGTTCCGTGCTCCTTTGCTCCTCCATGCTTCATCGCCAGCTCCAGAAGCCAACTAAGTACAAGATCTCGTGCAACCGCACAAACCTGACTAGCCAACTAGTTTAGTCAAGTAGACCAATGCGCATAGTGTTTTGTGTAAAAACAACAGAATCAAGTCGTTAGACCACATGAACAACACCCAATCTCGTGAAAAATTCCCAACAAGCACTCACCACAAAAAGCGCAACCTCATCCCCTGCGGCGAACTGCACAAGAACTCACAGCCCCCTAATCTAAGCTCCCTGCGTGCATCCAGTGTTGCCTAGGGGTACAACGCGACCACACACGCTGATGCATCGTAAAAAAATGCAGGCAACACTATGCCGTGCTGACAGAGAAGCACCAAAAATCGACAGAGAGGCTGTCAAATCAGGTACCGGAATGCATGCACATCAAATCGAATTGATGCGGCCATCGCGCGTGGTGTGGAACAGCGGAAGGGCGGCTACTTCGGGACGCTGGGTGCGGCGGACGGGCACTTGGCTGAGGCCGCCGCGGCCGGGTTTACTCGCCGCCATGGATGGTCACGGCAGCATCGGCCTGTTGCTGAAGGAGGCTGTGACCTGTAGATGGATGGCACAACGGCGCTTGTGCAAGCAAAAGAGGAGGAGGCGGCCAGCAACATACGGGGCATACGGAAGCAGGGGAGCAGGCCCGCCGGGCGCGGCTCGCGTCGCCAGGAGGACGGGACCGGCCTGACGCATGCTGGGCACGGCGTACGTCATCGGAAGGCGGCCGGAGGGGCGCGGCAGCGGGCGCGTAGCCGGCAGCAGGAGCGGAGCGGCGGCTGCGTTGCCGGGAGGAGGAGCGCGGCGGAGGGGCGTTGCCCGAAAGAGGAACGGCGTGGCGGCCGGCGTCGCAGGAGGAGGCAAGGCGGCAGTGGGAGGGTAGTTGAGTGGATAAGGAATACGACGTGTCTACCCCGGGTGAGCGATCCGCAAAACTCTCCCGACCAGATAACGCCTGGCACTGCGGGCCGTACGATACACATGTACCGAGCGGTCACCGCGCGGCCGCTCAGTTCGCCCAGATACCGCGCGTGCACTTTTTAGATTTTAGGTTTTTTTTCTGATAAACTTCTTCTTCTGTATTCATTCATAAGTAAAATAGCATCGTTTATAAGTAAAGGGATAACCTCATTAGGGAAAGCTCAGCTCACGTCTAAATCTGGGGATCATAATATCAAAGTCCAGATCATGCATGTCATATGGGTCCAAAAGGACAGCCACAGGAGCTCCATGTGGCACGTGAGATCCAACTTAGAAAATCACCAGTGCCGGACAAAGGCCTGCCGGCCCATCGCGCTGAAAGCCGAAAGCCCACGCCGGCCCCACACGTCAGTGAACCGTCCAGCCCGTCGCAGAAGGCGAGCACGACGTCTCGGGCTCACGGCCACTCGCCGGCCAGCGCCAGTGTGACCGAACCGCTCTGGAAACCCGGGGGAGGAGCGGCAAAACATACGCCGCAGCACCCCCGCAATCCCACAGAAATTACGGACGCGTCCCCGGGCGAGTGGGAGGAGTAGTGGTGGAGGGTCCGAGGAGCGAGACTGGCCAGTGGTCTATCTCTCTGTTTTTGCGGGCGGGTCCTTGTGTCTGTCTCTCTGTCCGGCCCGGACGAGATGCTCCCGTGGGCGACGGCGGCGGAGGCCGAGGCGGCGCTGGGGCGCGCCATGACGGCCGCGGAGGCGCTCTGGTTCCGGTGGACCGCGGAGGCGTCCGACTACTACCTCTACTGCCTCAACATCCTCTTCCTCCTCGTCGTCTTCACGCTCGCGCCGCTCCCCGTCGCGCTCCTCGAGCTCCGCGCGCCGCGGGCCGTCGGGCCGTACAAGCTGCAGCCCCGGGTGCGGCTCTCGCGGGCCGAGTTCATCAAGTGCTACGGCGACGTCATGCGCATCTTCTTCCTCGTCATCGGCCCGCTCCAGCTCGTCTCCTACCCCGCCGTCAAGGTCCGCTTCTCCCCCCGACCCTCGTTTTTCCTTTTCTCTTGGCGGATGATGAATCTGCGCAATGCGGCCGGAGATTTGGGGTTCCATGGAAAAAGATCGAATGTCACAGCGCTGACAGGCATGGAATTCAGATTCGCATGCGGTTGTCATTTTGATCTGTATGTTCGGAGGAGTACTAGATTTGAGGAATTTATGGCCTGGGTTCTGCTCCAAAACCCTGTACAAGTGATCCACACTTCAAAGTTTCCCCCAGTTTTCTCCACGCAGTCTTGGCAAAAACAAAAGACTGTTGTTGTATCTAAGACCAAACAATACAGTAGTAAATTTATCCTATTTGATTGATCACTGCAGATGGTGGGAATCCACACCGGACTGCCTCTGCCGTCTCTGGGGGAGATGGCGGCACAGCTGCTGGTCTACTTCCTGGTTGAGGACTACCTCAACTACTGGATCCACCGGCTGCTGCACGGTGAGTGGGGCTATGAGAAGATCCACCGGATCCACCATGAGTACACCGCGCCCATTGGCTTTGCCGCGCCATACGCACATTGGGCAGAGGTGCTCATACTTGGCATCCCCTCCTTCGCTGGGCCGGCCATTGCACCAGGCCACATGATAACATTCTGGCTCTGGATTATACTTCGTCAGATGGAAGCCATTGATACACACAGCGGGTAAGGAATTTCCGTAGTTTCTCTCTTGAGAGATTATGTTTTGCTGCTAGTGATGGATGGATTTATAATAAATGGAGTTGCTGGATGATTGCGATGTTAGCTGCATGACACCAAATATGACTAAAATCGGTACCAATGAATATTAGTGGGGGAGCTGCATGGGTCTATGTCTGAATTAATTGAGTTATTTCTTAAAAAAAGTCGTAGCTCGCTGCTTACTTGAAGGTTTTCTTAGGAATACATTTCTTTGTTCATCAACATCTATATGAATGGAAGAACCTGGTAATGAAGAAGCTAAAGCTATGATCTCTTTTGTAGGACAAAATTAACAAGCAAACTCTACATTTATTCGGTTTTTCCCCAGCTGTGTTTCAATTCATGTGACTTTATTATTTTGGCCAAAGTATCTTATGTTTCTTAATTATAATTTCACTCTATTGTGAAAAAGATACAACCTACAAGTCTTGAAGAAATAGTAATGTGTGAACAGCTAAGTTACAAGATGCCACATCTAATCCATTTTTTAGGAACAGTTGTTGCTATGACCAGTGACACTGTCCATGACTACTCCACTGAACTTTATCTATTCATTTTGCAGTTTTGATTTCCCATTCAGCCTGACAAAGTATATTCCATTCTATGGAGGAGCAGAATACCATGATTATCATCACTACGTTGGAGGCCAAAGCCAGAGCAATTTTGCTTCCGTTTTCACGTACTGTGATTACCTATATGGGACCGACAGAGTAAGTTTTCCCCTTCATTGCACAAAGGCACTATTCAAAATCTCAGGAAGCGCAAGATTTCTAATTTGAGTATATTGTTCTTTCAGGGTTACAGATTCCACAAGGCTTACTTAGCAAAGGTAGTTTGTTTTAACTGTTTATATCTTCTTCTGTCGTTACATATACTTTACCTAAGAAATAGTATCGTGCATTTTTTTTTTTGCCATCTGTGAATTGGCTGTTAAGGTGACTATATATATGGAGCTAATTTTATTGACTTTTCTTGTCCCTGCATGAAATAGTTGAAGGATCTGGCACCAAGCAATGGCAAGAAAGAAGGTGCTGACGGATTCGCTTATGCAAAGTTGGATTAGATGGTCTTATAGAGTGCATCCTCAGCGCCTCCCTGATGATCTTGTTCAGTAATGGCATTGTGAAAATAGTTGTGTTGAGCTGGACATGTGTAGTTCTTGTTATGTGATTTTTTGTGTTTCTTGCAAGTGTGGTGAACGTCCCTGAACTTGTTATGCTGACCAATAATATTTACCAGATAACCTTTAAGCAAGCTTGCTATCTGCTATATGTCCGTGGATTGGCTTTCAATAAGAAAAGTATGATTAAGCTTGTGCACTTGATGGTCATACTGAATATTTATCATCTGTCTATGAGGAAAAAAATGTACATCCATTTCAGTTCACACGCAAGCTCCAGTTATAAGATTGTACAGTATCAATTGCAACGTTTTAAACTTTGGGAGGATAGCAAAATAGGACATACTACCAAATTTGACAATTGCCTCAAGAAAATGTGAAATAATACTGAAAACACAGTTTAGACCATGAAACTTGTAAGCATTAATATAAGGCGCTCCATTCATATAGATCCACTCTCAACAGAATGATCCAGTTAAAATAGCTGAAAACACAATTTACAGATAAACACTTGGTATTCACTAATCCATGAAAATAATTATTATTCAAAACACAGGGAGCAAGGGAGTCTGATCTGAAAATACCCTAGAAGCCATTCAATAACCACAAGACTAACAAGTTGCAGAAACAACTGGAATACTTAATCCCTTAGACATTCAAAAACACGACGCACGTCAAAATGATGATTCACAACACGATCGATCAAAAGGACTGAAAGAGCTCATGGTAGTCGTTCAGTATCGGCGTGGAGGGAACCGGTCCAGGAGCCTCCCAGATGGACACTCGTAAGCCATATGACCACGGCCACCGCAGTTGTTGCAGATCATGAAAGCACCACCCATGCAGTCACGGCTCATATGGCCAACCTGGTTGCAGGCCCGGCAGACCACGTCACTGTAGCCACCATGGAAGAGAGCACCACCGCCACCACGGAAGGGAGCATCACCACCGCGGAAGGGAGCATCGCCACCACGGAACAGAGCATCGCCGCCACGGAACAGAGCATCGCTGCCACGGAAGGGAGGAGGCCCACCCCTCTCGTTGATCTCGTCGGATTTGGGGCATTGACGGGCCAAATGCCCTGCAACATGGCAGAGATTGCAAACAGGCTCATTGGTGCAGTTACGGGCAAGATGGCCACTCTTCCTACAGTTGTTGCAGGCCTTCTCATTGGTGCACTCCACGGCAATGTGCCCTGGTTTGTAGCAGTTGTTGCAGAGCTTCACTTCTCCAGGCAGCATTGGCGGAGCAGTGCAGTCTTTTGCAATGTGACCTGATTTGCCACAGTTGCGGCATATCCCTTCATTCGGGCAGGCATTAGCCATGTGCCCAGGCTCTTTGCAGTTCCAGCAGAGATCTTTGGAAGAACACTCAGCTGCAATGTGCCTGCAGAAATTTAAAGATTGAGTGGGCACTGTTTTTGCCTCAGAAGGAAGGTAGAGGATGTACTATGCAAGGCTTTCCTGGTCACATGGAGGAATAACGTATGACCTATGTACTCCCTCCGTCTCAAAATAAGCGTCTTAACTTTATACTAACTTTAGTACAAAGTTGTACTAGAGTTGAGACACTTATTTTAGGATGGAGGGAGTACAACTTAAGCTTCACAATTTATCATGTACTGGTCATTTTTATGATGGTTATGATCTACGTACGGTTCAAGCTTCAAGTATCATTATCTGTTAACCACCGCTTTCTGATAATATATTTGCATCCAGAATAAATTATGAAAAATGAACCAAATCCTTGTACAAGGCACTTGCACTAAAAAGGTACTAACATAAGATGATTACAAATGACTTAAGACAGGTGACACATGTATTGTTTTGAGGGGGGTGGGGGGATCTCAAATAACTATCAATTCACGCTGATACTAGATTTCTCATTAAACATGACAAGAACATAAGGTGCCTCAAAATGGTTAAGCACGAACAAATAATTGCAACCATTAATCATGGTAACCCAATGTAAAATATGCACTGGAGAACAACTAGGTCTACCGAGAATATTAAAAGCATGAAAACTCCACAGGAAAAGAAATGCAATAGTTACATGATGATGGACAGAGTTCTAGATACAATACAGCATACAAAAGCAAATAACTGCAACCAACAATTATGGTAATCTGGTGTAAAATATGCACTAGAAAATAGCAGGGCTATTGAGAATATTGAAAGCATTGGAATCATTATGAATAAGAAGTCAAGAATACAATAAAAAGTTGCTACACAATGGAAGATCTTAACATGAGCTAACATACAAGACTGCAAAATCTCAGATCCGCATGACCAAACAAGTAATAGTCCTTACCCTGGAAGGCCACAGGCATGGCAGACAGACACATTTGGACAATCTCTAGCAAAATGCCCTGGACGCTTACAGTTGTTGCACAAATCACTAGCAGACCTGCAGTACAAGTAAAGGAAATAATTAAAGGATACACAGCCCCCTGCTACCATCATAGAAACCAGGGCTAGTGTAAGGCCTCTTCAGGTAGCATTATGGCCAACATATACAGTTAAGAGAGAAAGCAACAACGCTTGATATACAATGGCAAATGTTTATCGTGTTTCATTAAATAAGGCGGCTCAAACCTGCTTGGACCACGGCGGCCGTCCCTGTCTCTCCGGTATGGCGCGTCACGGTACGAGGTGCGTTCAGTACGCATCCTCCGGTCCCTCGGCGGCGGGCTTCGGCTGCTCATCGTCAACCCTTCCTTCTAAATCTCCTGCCTCCAAGCTCCCACCAAACTGTGAACACCACACGTCCAAACCACAAAATCACCACAACTCACCCTGCTTCCTTCCTCCCTTCCTTCCTTCCTGTCGACAACAAAACCACAGGCTGAAATCCAACCCCATGAGGCCAACAACCATCATCATCCTCTACTAAGCACGCTGAATTCCAACCGTAGGCCGCACGAACTTCCCCTACTTTCCGCCATGACCATTCACGACATTCAAGCACCGCCCCCGCATCTTGATTTCTCGCGACGCAAGGGTTTCCTTCCCAGACAACACCACCACACAATTCGCGCCCTAACAATAAATTATGTTTTACCACCTGACCCTACAGGCTACAGCCATGAACCGTCCTACAACCACCTCAGCACGATGGATTATCAACATATGAGGGCCTCAACAGTTCCACCGGGCCATGCTCATAAGTCCTATCGTACAAAGCCCAAAGCTTCAGCGAAAGAAACCCTAGGGGCGGCGACCACATCGGGCAACAGCAAGCGGGTTCGCATCTACTCGGGCAACATACGCCGATACGCGTATATACAGCTAAAGGCACGAAATCTCGAGGAAGATAGCCGATTTCTGCCTACACGGCGCAAATTAGGTGCAGGTGAAGTTGACGAAACCGAGGCTTACCTAGGGTGCGGATCTCCAGCAGGGAAGAGGACGACTGAAGAAACCCTACGAGTCCGGCGAGCTCCGGCGGAGGTCAGCGGGTGGAAGCCGCGGCGGCGACGGTGAGGGACAGCGACCCCGACTCGCGATGTTGGATTGGGATTGGGTAGGTCCGGACACCGAACGCACCCGGTCGGTCGGTCGGGAAGACGACGCAGGCAGATCCAGGCTATAAGAGGGAACACGTGATCACCCTAGCCGTCCGATCTCCAGTGGACGGCTCACAGAAAGCGAGCAACCCGTAGAAGACTAGAAGTCGTAACGCAAAGTTTTAAAAAGGCTGTGGCTCTTGTGGGCCGGAATCGAACGGCGACTCTTGGGCTTGGGCCAGGATGTCTCTCGCCGGCTGCGGCAGTGGCGGCGGCGCGGCGGCGACGTGGACGCCACCGTACTGCACCATCGTGGCGGCCGACACGTCCGACTTCTCGTACCTCTCCTGCCTGACCTGCGGCCGCCGCGCGCTCCCGGGCCACCCCGAGGGCTCCCCCTGCGGCGCGTGCGGCGGACCCGCCCCGGCGCGCGCCTACCGGCTGCTCCTCTCCGTGGCCACCCACGACCGCGTCTTCCCCGTCGTCCTCTTCGACCGCGCCGCGCGCGCCCTGCTCGGCTGCTCCGCTGACGAGCTCGCGCGCCTCTTCGCCGCGCACCGGGGCGCCGCGCGCGCCGCGGCGGACGCCCTGCAGGGGGAAATGTGTCGCCTGGCGCTGCGCGAGCCCACCAAGGACGGTGCCGAGCACCTCTCCGCCGTCTCCGTCGTGCCGCTCCGTGACGGGTTCCGCCCGGTCGTCGACACCCTCAGGACGCTCTACTCGCGCGCCGGCGGCTGACCGCCATGCTTAAGATGGAGTGTATGTGTTCGATGAAACGCTTGTATGCGTCCTGCTCTGTAGTGTTGCGAACTGTCTCAATCGATGATCTCTAACTGTGATGTTATTACAGTGTAGTAATTGACCCAAAGACTTCCGGAGAGGCTTGTTTTGCCCCCGCGCCGTCCTCCCCAGGGCGGCTCGGGCGGCGACCCCCTCCCCTCCGGCCGAACCTCCCCTCCAGCCACCCCCTTCCTCCCGCCGCCGCCAAATGCTTCTGCGAGGCGAAGCCCGCGCGGATCTGGCGGCGGCAGGCCGTCGTTCCTCGTGCAGACCGCTCGGGGGACGGGGGAGCTCCGTGGGGCGGCGGGCGGCGCGGCGTGACTCCGGCGTGCGTCGCTTCTGCTGGTGGTGGTCGGAGACAGTGGGGCGGATGCGTTCGCGGCTCCCTTCCGCTGGCCTTCCCCGAATCAGCGGCTCCCTGTTTGGCGACAGGTGGGCGTCGGGGATGGCTGCTGGTTTCGCCTCAGATGTGTCCAGCGGAGGTCGCTGTGAGGCGCGGGGTGGCGGTGCTCACCCTTCCCCGAGGCGCCGCCGTCCGCTCTGGCTTGTGGTTCTGCCTTCTGGCGGCGCTGGCGTGGACGGCGCGCCTGTCGGCTTCGGCTTGGCCCGATCCGGTGGGGAGCGGCGGGGGGCAAGTTGGATCCTGTCGGATCTGGCCTGCGGCGACCCGGATTTGGTCATGTGTGGCGATGGGGCTGCAGTGGCCCTTCTCTGTGGTGGTGCAGTGAGCGGTGCTACGAGATCAATTCGATGCTTATTGGAGGTGGTATGCTCATTTGGGCGAAAGCCCCGCTCCTGCCGAAGCCGGCGTCGACGACGCTTGTGGGTGCCACTAACCTCCTTGGAGGCGGTGCTGTCATGGTGACTACCCCTTCACATCCCAGGGGAAACCCATGTTCCAAGTCCGTTTGGAACGGACGATGGCAGCGCACATTGTGTCGCATCCCTTCTTGAAGGCATCATCTGGGGGGAGGCTCGGTTGGTCTCTGTGGTGGCTGCTCGCTGCGGGTTTGACGGTTTTGATGATGCGGCCGGCTTGGCGCTGATGGTGGTCTGTGCTTTGTTGGCGAGGAGGTGGTGCTCTGAATGCAAGATCATGGCTCAGCCTTGCTCTGGATTGGTTCTGATTTTCATCCGAAGCCGGGTTAGGGGTCGTTATCCTACTCAATGGATCACCTCGTTCCCATATGACACCTCTACCTCTGCTGGGTGTTGTTGGGTGGCGACCAGACGGCCAACGTTCAAGGCTCTCCTTGCTTGGTCAGATGAAGATGTAAGTTGAGGTCCTCCTCCTGGCGGGTTGTGCTGATGAGATTTGTGATGGCGGTCGGTGGTGTTGGTGTGTCCAGCTTCGGACTGTTGAAAGGCCTTCTCCCTGTGTGCCCTTTCCTCGGCGGGTCTTCCGGTGGTTCTGCTGGATGTGTGTGTGTGTGTGTGTGTTTTCGGTTGCATCTCTTCTCATGTTTTTCCCGTGTACTTTGGTTCATTTGAATCTATCTTGTATGGAGCCACGAGGCTTCTAGGCAAATTCGAT